AATACAGAAAACTGAAAAATTCCATAACTGTGATTATTTAAATGGAAGACTATGTAGATTACAGTGATTATTTTACTGGAAGTCTATGTAAATTGCAGGGATTATTTTAATGGAAGACTATTTAAATTACAGTGATTATTTAAAAGGAAGACTATGTAAATTATATTAATGCCAAAATTGTATCAAATTATTTGAAAGAATTTTAAGAGATACATATATCTCCATCAGCAGAGAGCACTACTGTACTCAGTGAAGTGTCTGGTGTGCAAATATAGAAAAATAACACTTCTCTGACTCCTATGGAACCAATATTTTATTCCTTACGATGTTATTCATAAGATTTTTTACATTTTACATGCACGTAGCATCGCGTGACAAAAACTCGAGTTTGTTTACTTCGTTCTTTTCTTCGCGGAGACTAGAAGGTGTTGCCATTTCCGCTTTAACTAAACTCATTAGAAACTTAGAAACTTAACGGAACTGAAGCGACACTACACACCCCCTTCCTAGTGACAGCGATTATGGAAGATAGTCTTTAAAGTGACTTGGGGAACTTCACATGTCTGCCGGTTCTAGTAGTCTTAGTTTCATGATGAGTTTCTGAATTTTCTTCAGTGTTCTTGAGTGCAGGTGTTTCCCCAAGTTCCCGCTTTCTTGGAATGGGAGTTTTGGAAAGGAATATCAGAATCTTGCACTAGGAAACATGGCTTTAGTCTGTCTATTGAAAACTCTTTTAACTTTTCCTTGGATTTCAATATCGAAGTACTTATCCTTTCTTGCTCTTACAGGATACGGTCCAAGATAGACAGGCTGTAGCGACGAATTATTAATGTTGTTGTATAGGAATACGTGAGAACAGTTACAGTTGGAAAGATGTTTAGAAACAAAGACTGTTCTATTTCCATGGGTGGTGGTAGAACTTGGCTTCATAGCTCTTATTATTTTCTGAAGGTTTTGAGAAAATTCAGACTGTTTCATATGAGGTACTGTTGAAAAGAATTCACCAGGTAATGCTAAAGGAGTTCCGTATACAAGTTCTGCGGATGAGCAACCTAAGTCTTCCTTGATGGCAGATCTTATGCCTAAAAGAACGAAAGGCAATGCTTCCAGCCATGATTTTGATTCGAGTAGATGACATTTGAGACTTGCTTTTAAAGTTCGGTGTTGTCTTTCGATCAGGCCATTTGCCTGTGGATGGTACGCAGTTGTAGTGTTTGTATGAAAACCAAGATATTTTCCTAAAGCTTGAAAAAGTTGGCTATCAAATTGCCGACCTTGGTCAGATGTTATGCGATTCGGAATTCCAAAGCGTGAAAACCAAGTATAAATCAAAGCTTTAGCAATAGAATAGATTCTGCTGATTGATCTTCTAACGGTACCGCTTCGATCCATCGTGTATAACGATCGATGATGGTTAGAAGGTATTTGGAATCCTTTGCAGGGAGGTAGCGGACCCACCAGATCTATGTTTAAATGCTGGAATCTGTGTGGAGGTACTTTGAATTCTCCCAAAGATGAATGTGTCTGTGAACTTTAGATCTTTGGCAAGATAAGATAAACATGCTCTAGTCCATAGTTGGCAGTCTTTATTCATATTGGGCCATATGAAACGTCGTGTTATCAATTTTATTGTGGATCTTATTCCAGGATGAGATAAATTATGGATTGAAGAAAATATTTTCTGCCGAAACTTTGCAGGGATGTATGGTCGATTATAATTTGTAGAAGTATCACAGTAAATTTTCTTGTCGCTGTCCGGTATAGGGATCTGTAGGATTTTTAAGTTTGGGTTGTTTTTTAGTATCTCCAAGTCGTCATCTTCTTGACAGTCTACTATAGTTTGTAAGTCTATTGCAGATGGTACAGAAATGGTGTCTATGCGAGAGAGAGCGTCAGCGACGGTATTTTCATGCCCTTGTATGAATCGGATATCGGTTGAGAACTGGCCAATATATGACAGTTGTCCTAGCTTGTCGAGGGGAAGCTTTTTCCAAATTTTGTTGGAAGGCAAATGTTAGTGGTTTGTGATCCGTGTATATTGCAAAAGTTCGCCCTTCTAAGATGTATTTGAAATGTTTTACTGCTGTATAGATGGCTAAGAGTTCTCTGTCGTAGGCACTATATTTTTGTTGTGATGATGTCAAATTTCGGGAAAAGAAACTTAAAGGGTTTTTTTCATTATTCACAATCTGATGTAAAACGGCTCCAATGGCAGTATCGGAAGCATCAGTTGTTAGCGATATTTCAGCCTTTTCGGATGGGTGAGTTAAGTTTGTGGCATGAATAAGTGCATCTTTTAAGATCTGGAAGGCGTTTCTTGTTTCTGCCGTCCAGGTTATTTCTTTTCTGCAGTTCTTTTTTAATACCACTGAGCAATGTTGTTAAAGGTTGTTGCAGTTTTTGCACAATTTGGTATGAATCTGTGATAAAAATTCACCATACCTAAAAATCGTCCTTAAACTAGTAAATGACTTTGGTTCTGGGAAATTTTTGATGGCATCAACTTTCGTTGAGAGAGGTTTAAGTCCTTCAGCTGACACTTCGTTCGTATCCAGGAATGCAAGTTTTGCTTGACCAAATTTACACTTTGCCGCATTAATACACAGGCCATATTCGTTTAGTCTCTCAAGGACTGCTCGTAGATGTTTTTGGTGAGTTTCTTCATCTGGGGAGGCTATTAGAATGTCATCCAAATAGCAAAACACGAATTCTAGTCCATTCAACACACTGTTCATGAAACGTTGGAACGTTTGGGCCGCATTTCGTAGGCCAAACGTCATGAATGGGAACTCGAATAAGCCAAAGGGAGTGAGAATGGCCGTTTTTGGTATATCTTCTTCGCGAACTGGAATTTGTTGGTACGCTCTAATGAGGTCTATGGATGAGAAAACTCTTTTTCCAGCTAAAATGGAACTGCAATCTGTTAAAAATGGTAGAGGGTATCTATCAGGAATCGTGACGTTGTTAACGCTCGATAGTCTCCACAAGGTCTCCAATCACCTGATTTCTTCATAGCGAGATGTAGTGGGCTCGACCAGTTACTTTTGGATGGTCTGCATAAACCCATTTGGAGCATAAATTCAAACTCCTTTTTAGCCGCTTTAAGTTTCTCAGCTGATAGTCTCCTGGCTTTAGCGAAAACTGGTGGACCTCTGGTTTCGATATAATGTTCGATGTTATGATTTTTAACTTTATTATTAACTACATTGAGTTTTAACAAATCCGGAAAATCGTTAATGATACGTTTATATGGATCATTTACGGCATTTAAAATCGGAATATTATTATTGTTATTTTGAAAACAATGGAGTTCCATTGGTTGTTAAGAATGTAGTACCATCAATCAACTTGCGATTTTTAGAATCTACCAAAAGGTTAAAATTTGCAAGAAAATCCATGCCTATTATCGGTTTGTTTACGTCCGCAATTACAAAAGGCCATGTGAATGATCGTCTGAGTCCAAGATCAAGCTTGTGTAATTTTTGGCCATATGTTTTAATTTCGTACCACTTGCAGCAAAGAGTCCTAATTTTGAGATGTTTTTTTTATCTGCAGGCAAGGGAGGAATGACAGAAATTTCTGCCCCAGTATCTATTAAAAATTGGGTAGCCGATTCTTTGTTGCTGATGAAAAGACGACTCAGCTGCACCCCTTGTCCCTCCATCGTCAATGAGAGACGGGGAGCTGGTTTTCCAGACTATTTGTCTGCGATGTTGATGAGTAGTTGCAGGGTTGTTTGCACTTAAATGACTTATCACCGAATTTTTTATGATAGTAACAAATATCACTAGATCTGTTACCACTGTAACTCCTATCTCGTGATTTGGATCGGTTACGACAATAGGGACGACTATGACGTTGCTTGCTTAAAGCAGAAACTTGTAAGCTAAGTTCACTAACCTGTTTTTGTAAACTTTCAATCACTTCCGCTTTTACCGTTATGGATGATGCAGCAGCTATTTGGGGAGTAACAGGGTTTAATTCCCAAATCTTATCGGCCATTGTAGCCACTTTTGACAAATCTTCACTACTAACAGATATAATGCTACGCATATTAACGGGTAAACGTTGTAGCCACAATGTTTTTAGGAAAGTATCTGTTACTTTATCGCCAGCCAAATTACGCATCTCACACAGTAATTGAGACGGCTTTTTGTCACCCAGTTCTAACTCACTCAGTAATTTTTGGGTTTTTTGAGTCTCTGAATCAGCATATAATGAAATTAGTCTATTTTTAATTGCCTCATATTTATTATCTTGTGGTGGACTTAGCAGAATATCAGATACCTGTGACAAAATATCGGGTTCAATGGAACTTATAACATAATCATATTTTGTTTGATCTACACTAATTTTTGCATTTCTAAATTGTGCTTCTAGTTGAATAAACCAAACCATATTTTAGGATCTGGCTTCCAAAAAGGAGGAACTTTAACGCTTACCTTGGCGACAGATGCAGTTGTTGCTTTAATTTCGGTTTCGTCTTCGTCAGCCATTGTAGAATTCGATCACGCCGGGATACACCAGTGAAGTGTCTGGTGTGCAAATATAGAAAAATAACACTTCTCTGACTCCTATGGAACCAATATTTTATTCCTTACGATGTTATAGCTTCTTATTCATAATATTTATTTACATTTTACATGCACGTAGCATCGCGTGACAAAAACTCGGAGTTTGTTTACTTCGTTCTTCACGGAGACTAGAAGGTGTTGCCATTCCGCTTTAACTAAACTTCATTAGAAACTTAACGGAACTGAAGCGACACTACACTCAGTGTTCCATAATTTAAACTTTTATTTTCATATTTATCGTTAATATTTAAAAATCCTTTAAGAACAGTATTGGTTTTGAAATTTAGAATTATCTCTGTTATTTTACTAAGAGTCATACCACATAATTGCTAATGTTCATATTTTATTCTTTTATATATAACCTGAATTTTTTGCTGTTTATTCTGTCATAAGGTGAAATTGAAGTAATATTTTTACTCCCATCAGAATAGTTTGCCAGGTTGAAAGCCCTCGAAATCTTACCACTGGTCTTGGAGGAGGTTCAATTTCAGGCCCAATTGTAGTAAAAGTCCAAAATGACTACATTGCGAGATCTCAGAAGCATTACTCTTTTGTTGTGAGCATATACTTTTTTTTACTTCTTTTGTGTTTATATATGGATACATATATGATTTGTGTAGTAAATGTTTTGCACATATGAAGTTATTGGAAATACTATTTTTTGCTTTTTCTTGTGGTTGCTATATATTAAACTTGTTTTAACAAAGATTTCAAATGTTTCTGCAATAAAATATTTACTCTTATATTGTTAATGCTTTATTTGTGATTTTAGTAACTTGGAAAAATTCTGCTCTTTCTAACTTTTATTTAATTGGGTAATATCAATAATTAAGATGCTTTTCTAGATCTGAAACATCTAAGTTTGATACTATGTTACTCTTGTTTTTTCTCTGTAAATTTGTATATAAGAAATATCTGTTTTATATGTTGTACAAAAACTAGCTGTTTTACTTTTTTTTTTTAATCATCAAGCTAGATTTTTCATTAAAAAATCAGGTCTTTCTAATAATAATTCTGAATTTTGAAATATAATATTTAAATGTCTTTAAAATTGTATAAAACAGAGAAGGGAGACACTTTTAAAATAAATAGATTGTTTTTCCTTCCTTTTTATTTTTGTGTTTTAGTTTTTACCATTATTTATTTATTTATTTATTTTTCTAGAATCCAAGAATAACTTCAGTTGTACCTAGCAAGGGACCTAGATCTGGTGGTACGAAACTTAAAATATGGGGTTTGCACATGGATGCTGGGAGTAGAGCTGAAGCATTTGTTGATGGATTGGAGTGTAAAGTTACTGGGTGAGTTAAGATATGATCCTTTTCAAGGGTTCATACAGTTGTTAAAAGTCCCTAGGTTTTTTGAAAAAGATTTTTCATTCTTAAAGTTATTAAATTTCAGACGAAATTAGCAGAAGGTCCTTAAATTTGCACATCTGGCACTTCTTGTTTTTATGATTGGCATTTTGAATATGAATTCACATTTTAGATAAATGGGGTATTTAAATCATGTGATTCATAATGGAGCAATCGGAAATTAGCTTTGTAAAAACCGTAAAACAATTTGTCGTCTGGGAATAAAAATTTCTGTATGCTTGATTGGTAGCTCATCTAAACTTTGAAAACAATGTTTTCAACAAGAATATTATCCATCTGTATTGAAATCAAGAGTTTATTAGACTTTGATCTTACAGTCTTGTTCTGAAGCATGATTTGTGGTGAAACTTTTCACCTTCTTGAAGGGCCTATGATGAAAACACGGCCATAAAGAAGTTCAAATCTGGAAATTCATAAAGATCAGGCTTCCACTTACTGTTATCACTGAATCCAAAAATTTTTCAGATATAGAAAAGATGTTAAGAGGGTGGAATATTTTGACAGTGTTTGCCGATATTTAAAATTATAAATCTGGAGAAGGCCATATATTTAGGCAAAGAGTTTTTACTGTTCTAGGTCTAAAGCCTTTAAGAAAAATGCATATCTGGCAATTTTTATGAATTTTCGTATCTTTGGTAATAGGTTTCTAGTTTTAAAATCATACTCAGGAAATAAATATTTTATGAAATTTTAAAAATTTTAAAGGTGTCAAAAACTGCAAACTTGGCTATTCATAACCAAATATGTATTTAATTTCCATATTCTTAGCTGATATTCAGCTTATTGTTTGAATTCATTCCATTTTAATACATCAAAAATAGCTTTTTTTCTTTTGGAATGGGAATTCTTTTTGTCATGTGTTGCTAAACTTGGTGACTTATCAAACTCTTAGTTCATTTTAAGATCAATATGTCTACAAAATTTTTTATTCTAAAATTTGTGAATTTTATATTTTTTTCCTCCCATAAATGATATTGATAAAACATTAAAATTATATACTATATAGTATATGTGTGTAAGATATAACAAAATATAATACCTGTTCTAAAAAAATAATTGGCAACCTCAAATTGAACATTCTAAATTTGCTGATCTCCCCCTGGGTTCAGCTTTTCTCACAGGTTCCAGATTTTTCTATCTATAAATATTTAATGGATTTTTAAAATGCATAGATGAAGATACTGGAACTTTTAACAGCTTTCGATATTGCGTAGATGGCTGAGAAGCACGTAGTGTCTTGAAGGTGGCTGAGTGGAAAGCATGATGATGCAATTTAGCGCAATGTATCTTGAAGAATCGCAATCTTTATTTTTTTACGTATATTTTCCTGAGTGAAACTAGACTGTAATAAATCTCTGCAAGTAGAAGAGAGATGTAAAGATTTTCAAAATCATAACAATTTATATCATTTAGTTCCAAATTTTTAATTTTGGAAAGAACAGGAATATTATTATTCATAATCAAATTTTAACAATGTTCTTTATTGACTAATTCAAAAATACTAGGACACAATTCTTTTAAGTGATATACATAACAAAATATAAATGTACTAAAAGTGGCAAGCTAATTCATATGAAGAAAGCAAAAGCGCAAAAGACTGGAAATATCAGTCTGGATGTTAATCCTCAATAACTACATAAATTTAGTTCACGAAACTAAAACTTTCAGAAAGCAGTGCTGTAAAGAATAAACCCTATCTCAGATCATCACTCATAATTTCAGATGATTTGGGCTTTCTGCGGAAGTAGTTATCTTAAAGAGAAGCTATTTAATACAGTCAAAAGTCGTTAATTCGGACACCCATAATCTGGAATGATCTATAATCCGGACCTCAAAGCTAAAATCTTTCTGCGCATGCGCCGCATTAACGCATGCGCATAGGCGTTTTACTCGTGCGCGCAAGACATTTACGACTGCGCATATGCGTCTGGGCAAGTGCAGAATACGTTTTCGTGTGCGCGTTTAATATATAACGGACGGTATCAGCTAAAATTATCTATTTCAGTTAATGTTGATGATTGCGTTGTTCCTTAATCTTCGAATTGGATAGGGCTTATTATTTTTTGCAGACTGTAAAAGCAATTTTCTAAAAGTAAGCTTGAACTTTCGATTATGTCAAATAGAATTTCCGATGCTGGAGCTCCAAAGATCTAGAAAACGAAAGTATGTTTCGATGTGCATCAAACAAAAAACGAATTGCTACAAAAAATGGATAAAGGCATATTCTTTGTTTATCTAACCGTTCCGAAATCTGTTTATCAATTTCACGCTGCTCTGAGCGGGGGGGGGGACGTCGCGGCGCGCAATGAACTGGAAGTTGATTTGTCAACATTATCGTTATCTTCAGGGCAGATGTTTTTATTTTATTCGGCTTATAATTCCTTACTAAATGTAGTATTTAATTTCGATGTACTCCGTCTTTGATATGATTTAAATCAAATTCCTCGTCATTATAAATATCATGAATACAAATCAAATAGTTTTCTGGTTGCAATTTTCTAATTTCGGCTATGCGTAAGGTATGCTTTACGCATCCGCGCGTTGAAAGAAATGTTTAATAAAGTAAACAAATAAATATTAGGCTTCTTTTTTGGTAAATTTTGATACCCTTTAGATCATAATTGCTCATTATTTTATAAATCACGGTTTCATATTTTTAATTTTATAATTTCTGCATGCCATCTTACCAGATTTAAACTGATGATCTATAATCCGGAAAAATCGATAATCCGGAATCGTCGAAGTCCCGACGAGTCCGGATTAAAGACTTTTGACTGTACATATATTTCTTAGCCTTCTCAAAAATATTAGTTGCTTTAAAAAATGATCTTCTTAAGAATAATTTTTTTTAATCATTCATCTTCTTAAGGATTTTTTTAAAAGAGGTGTCAAATTGTATGCAAAAGAGTTTCTATAAAATTTAAAATACCATACTTGCGTTAAATCTGTTTCAAACACAGGTATTTTTTAAAATATAGATTTACCTTCTAATACATATTCATTACTTATGAAATGATAAACATGAAGCTCTGTATTATACTTCAACATTTAGTACAGTTTTGGTTAAAATAACACATCAAGGAACATATGCTGGAGATCCTGAAGCAGCAAGAATCAGTGTAAGTTGCATAAATTTGTGGGACAAGTTTCGAAGGTTTGAATAGAACCTTCTTCAACCAAAGGAGTGAAAGAGTATTCTGTTCAAAACTTTCTCCTGAAAACTTATGCAGCTTACATTGATTTTTATTGTTTCAGTGTCTCCAACAATGCAAATAGTGGAAGTGCAAAAATATACTTGCAATGATACACAAATACTGTGCCCTTTTCATGCATTTACTTGGGTTTTGTAACCCTAAAATTCGCTAATGCTATTTTATGACCTATTTGCATCCGGCAATGCAGCGTCAACTTGATATGTAAATTGCATGTTTGAAACCCCTTTTAACTATGTACCTTTTCTTTTAGTATTTATTGCTGATTTTTTTAGCACACAGTTTACTGTTTATTTCTTAATAATTACATTAAGAGAAAATGTGTTTACTTACTTTTTCCTCTCTAACATGGTTTTTTAGACAGTTATTATTTTTCATTTGAAATAACACTAACAACGTAGCAGGCTCATGTCTTACTTACATAAACTAATTGTTTTCCATGTAAAAACAACTTAAAAATGCGGGATGGTTTTATATTTTGTCTGATATGATATGTAGTCATGTTTAAATCTTAAAAATGGATGTGTGCTAAAATCTGGTACTGTGTAATACGTTAATAAACTTAAGAGAGGCAGCAGCTGCAGTATTTTTAGTGAATCATCATAATTTTTTATTAAATCCGAATGTTTATCTCATTTATCATGTCCACACATATATGCGGTATTTATAATTAATCTCTTCTATGCAAGCTTTTCCTGTGAGAAAGGGGGGACAGTTGTAACTATCAACATGTGTTTTTCCTGTCTGAATGTAGTTCTGTGTATTTATTAAAATGTACATCATTTTGAATTTTTAAAAAAATTAATTTTTACTCCGTAATGGAATTCTAACAGATGTGCTGTATAATAAAATAACTTTTTTTTTTTAATATTCTTTTGGTCTCAGTTATCAAAATATCCAGTGCATTTAGTCATTGATTTATGCATTTTTCAAAATATAGTGAAACATAGTGCACCTATTTATTTATTTTAGAAGAAGAAGTAACTACGTTGACTGCACCACTTCAGCATCTAAAGATAAAGGCCCAGGAAAAGTCAGAGTAAAATTTGATAATGGTCTGCGAATTTTTGAAGATTATAATTTTCTGTATGTAGATGATCCTGTAATTGGTAGTGTGGAATCTGGCTCAGGCCAACGGGGCACTCCCAAAGGAATTCCAAGGTATAAATACTTTACAATGCCTTGAATAAAGATAATATAATCATAACTTCAGGTATGTAATTAGTGCATAAATACATATAATATTTCTGAATAAATTTTGGTGCTCTGTCTTTTAGTGGAGGTATCAGCGTAACAGTGCATGGGACAAACTTAAATGCAGTGCAGCAACCAATGATGTATGTTTTAGTTGACAACCAAGAATATACTAGTGTAAGTGTTTCAGAATTCAATCAAAATTGACGCTTTTAATTGTTAAAAAGTTTATTAGTTGGTGTCCGATGTTCTAAACTTGAATTCCTTCTTCAATTTTAAGATAACAGTGCTTTGAGAAATTAAAATGTAATATTTCAGACTTGCAAAGCTGAATCATCAACAGAGATGAAATGCTGGAGTCCTGCTGTGCCCCCATCAAAACTCGATTTTTCTGGAGATGAAGCAATTGAACTTGATTTTGGCTTCCTGATGGATAATGTTGAGAAAGTTAAGAACTTAAGTGAAAGACCAGGTTTTCCAAAATTTTATATGTATCCTGATCCTTTGTATTACAAATTTACAGAAGAAAATCATATCAAGTACTACAAAAGTGATTATTTAACAATAAATGTAAGTACACCTTCATTCACAAGTAAAAATTGTGTAAAAAAATTATTGTCTCTTTCATGAGTAACAGTTTATCACATTACTAAACTCTAATTTGTGACTTTTCTTCATTAAATTTATGTAACTGGTTTATGACTGACCCAGTTAAGTAATTTTACATCATTTACATTAATCTAACAAGTAGTAGAAATTATCTAGAGCTTGTTAATGTCTCCAGTTGGTTGAACACTTCTCTCTTATTCAGGTAGTTATAGATGTAGAAGCAATACCAATTGCATCTATTGCAGTGGTGTCCACCTAAAGCATCGTTTATTGTGAGCTTCATCTCACATAGAACAGAATAAACTTTTCACCTTGCTCTTCATCTAAAGCAGTGTGCATTTCCGAGTTGCCCCTTAGCCATTCCACAACAACAAAAATAAATAAATAAATAAATAAAATAAAAAAGAATAAAATAAGAAACAAAACGTTGAATAAAAAATTAGGATTAACATTTTCAATCTGGAAATTTGCCAGGTTGAATATTGTGTTTCCTTAAGCAGGTGCTGCTTGGCCATTCCATGGCATTTCACATTCGAGAATCTTCTCACTCATTCTTGATCCATCAAGAATTCACGAATGTTCGTAGTAATAATATTGTGAGTTTGAAATGAACCTTCCATGTATTATGATATGCATTTGATTTCTTTGTGAGGTTTTATTGTGTACCAAGGTAGTGTTCTATAATAAAGGTGATAATAAAATGTATAAAATTTCGACCTTTTAAAAGCAAACTATATGTACTAATGTGCAAAGAATATGGGAAGCCACCATGAGTCTCTTTTGCTATACATGGGAAGTAAGGTGGTTGTTTTGAGGGAAAGCATTGACATTTTTGCTGAACGTGCATTCACAAGTAATAGCATTTTTAATGAACCATGATGCTGATTTGGCAAAAATAATTGAGGCTTTTTGTGTAAAAGGGCTTATTGGCTGAAATTTTTAGCAAAGTGAGTGAAAGTAATCTATCTGTGTGGATAAACACAAATGCCACAGATTTTAATACAAACACCAGAGTATCTTCATTGAACAGGAAGTTTATGTACTGATTGGAATGGATGGAAAAGGAAGAGAATAATTGCATCGTCTTTCAAAACAATCTTCTTGGAAGAAATTAACATCAGGATTGAAAACAAATTTAGAAAAATGTTCAGGTATATCTTGAATCTTCGAAAGAGTCATTTGAGCTTCATTTTATAACAGCTCAAAAATGGTGCTTAAAAGCCTTAGAAAGGGTATTGACTGTCTTGAGTGTGTGTAAAGATCTGTCTATGTTAAACTCAGTTGAATACATGGCCCTTAGACCTCACAGCACACTAGAAGTCGGGTTTTGAAACTAAAGTCTGCAAGAATTTTGTTTGTATACACCAGAAATTCAAAATTTTATTTGAGAAAGCAAAATTAATGCTGTTGGTCCTTCTTAACTACAAATTCCTGTAACTTTCTCATTTATACAAGTACCAAAAAATATATTAAATCCATGCCAATACAGAACAAAGCATTCTCTACAGTCAATTGAACTTAAAATAAAGAATCTGTGCCCAAAAATGCAACCACAGGTGTCTTATTAAATGTTTTTATGTTGTGTCTTAAATTAGGCCCACTATGCACTCTAGTTGCATAAAGTTAATTTGTAATTGTCTTTTATAAAGTATAATGCAAATTTTGAATGTCAAGTAATGAACAAATTGTATTAATTGACTTAAATTTCGTGCAGTGACTTTAATGACGCTGTCGGCAGTAATATAAAATATCTATTGTAACAGAAATAGGTGGGATTTATTGAGCTTTGGGAAGTTTTGGGAGTCTAAAACGTTAAAAATTATATTAAAAAAAATTATAAATAAAAATATCTTCTCCCACCTCTGGTGCTTTTAATTGAAGCCAGCATTTCCTATGGCTCATGCAAGTTTTTTTAAGTGTACTAGGGAGCTAAAAGTTATTAGCTAGTGCTCAGAAAAATTCTGAAATCATGTGTTTTCATTTTAATACTTTTGAATCTATTGCAGCAATAATTTCTGTGAGTTTGCGAAGAAATTTTTTTAAAGCTGTGCGTTGTTGAAGTAGATAAAAAATTATGTACATTTCTGAAGTCAATGACATCACATCTACTCTTTCTTTTGCAGGGCCAAAATTTAGACAGAGCTTCACAAGAATCAGATGTTTTAGTACGAATTGGAACAAGTTATTGCAATGTCACATCCCTCTCACGCTCACAGCTTACCTGCCGACCACCTACTTCTCAACCTCATGCACGTGATATTTCTGGCTTGCCTGTCCCTGGGCAACTTCCTGAAGTTGTGGTATGTCTCCTTGATTATAATTTAATAGTTCTGTTAAAGTAAAACCTTGCTCATTGTGCTCGAATCTTTATTTGTAACTAGTATTAGGCATTAACCGAATTTATTATAAATATAATGTATGTGGATGTAAATATGTCAGTTGTCTTTTTAAAAATCCAAATTCAAATTTTAGGTCGAAGTTGGGGATATTTTGAAATTTCCTATTGGGAAGCTGAGCTATGAATTACCTTCATCTCATGATAGTGCCTTATCAAAACCTGTCATTATTGGAGTCATTGTGGGCGGTTGTATTCTTGTTATTATTGTCATCATCATCTTGATTGCATACAGGCAAAAGTCAACTGAAAGTAGTCGTGTGTTGAAAAATATGCAAGAACAAATGGATGTGTTGGAATTAAGGGTGGCCAGTGAATGTAAAGAAGGTGAGTGTAAGATTAGCGCAATTTATTAGTGGTGTGCGATAATGTATATTTTTATATTCAAAACAGATATAGGTGCTGTATTGAAATAACATTTTTATTTTATTTTGTTTTATTTATTTTTTAAGTATTTTCTTCATAATCAATTTCATTATATTTTTAGAATAACTCTCTTTAATCCTTTTATGTGTCTATATAAAATTTTTCTTCAAATCTTGTATCAGTTTCATCATACATTAGTGTATTTCTGTTTGCATATTTGCAGTAATATGAATATATTCTTTGTAATTAAATTTTTTTCTCATAAATTTATTTGTGAATTGAAAATTATAAATAATTTCATGAACTATTATTAAATATGTATTATTTTCATGCTGAATTTTCGTGCTTCCTTTTGTTACAAATTTAGGTTTATCAGCTATTCAACATGGTAGATTTTTAATTTAAATTTCAGGTCTGAGAAATTTTTGGTTTTGACCAACCCTCTTTCTGAGTAAATTTCATTTAATCTGCTTGCTCATGGTGTGATCTTTCAAATTAAGATTTTGTTTCTTGTGTATAAGATGTATCAAGCCCACCGGTATTTGGGCAGTTAAAGCTGCGAAATTAGTTTACCCCAAGCTCTTTCTTCAGTGATTTAAAGAGATAGGACATTGGTTTCCTAGTGTGTAATAAACACGTTCCAGTTGTTTATTTTTTATTTTATTTTAATTATTTTTTTAAAGACCTCCATTAAGGTTCGCTCTTCATTAACAGATTTTCTTAAATCATTGGTATGTTTTGCCATAATTAAGTAGTCTGTTCTGCTGTAGACAATATCTCTTAATAAGAAACAGACACTGCAGATTTTATTTTATTATTAAAAACGAGGTGCAGTATATTTTGATTTCTGTATGGCTGCTGTTTCTCTTTCAACTTTTTTTAAAACATCCTTTTTCTTTTTTATCAATTTAATCAGCTAATGGCTCAAGTGTTAAGTAGTCTCAATTAAAACTGTCTCAGAATTTTTTAAATAAAATAATTTCTAAATAAAAGTATTGTGCTATTTTTTATTTAACAGCTTCCTACATGCAGTTGAAAAGTAAATGGATTGGGTGTGTACAGCCCTCTCTGTAAGATTGGTTAAAAGCTCTTCACTGATAAGCTTTTCTACTCCACTTCTTTTAATTTGCATAGCCAGAATGCTGTTAACTTGTAACTCAGTGCATTTTCCCTCTGTTTTAAACATGCTAATAAAAACACCATTTGTAAATAAACTAAAATTTTTTGTCACACTTTTAAAATGTGTTTTAAACTTATCATAATTAAATTTTAGGAGCACTAGCAGTTCACAATAAACGAGAATAAGCTATTGATAAATGCCTTTCAATAGGAGTAATAGGCATGAGAATGTAATTTTACAGCAATTAGTTCTTCTGTGCTTCTTAAGTATGGATGGCTAATTTATGTGACAGTAGTAAAATCTAAATTGCATGGAGATGTATCACAATAAATAATACTTTAATAACAAAAAATAATACTAAATATAACATAGTTTTTTCAGACATCTTTCATCTGTTAAATAACTAGAAAAATTAATGCCTTGAATTCTGGATAAAATGATAAAACTTCAAAAATTATTTTTGTATTTAATGGGAAAAAATGTAAAAAAGTATTCTATGAAACAAAAGCAGTACCAATTTTTAATGGAAATAAATATGAATGTAATCAGAAATTCAAAAAATTCAATTTCATGAAGACTAAGTCACAGAATGTCTTATGCCTTTTGCATTTAAATACCTCATAACACTTGATCCATATTATCGACAATTTACTAAGAGTTATGAAATGCAGTATAAAGATAGTTTAAATTACACAATCTCTTATTACCTCTGTATTTAAATATTTATATAATAATACATCATCCATATTATCAAAATCTTGATAAAAATTACAAAATACATTAAGCAAAAAATACAAAATAGATTTTTATATCAGTAAGCTGAATTTTTTAAGTTGCATCCTAGAATTTAAAGGAATTATTGAGATCATATAATGCAAATAATGTCCTTCCTTATCTTCAAAATATACGTAGAAATGCATATAATAATTCTGAGGAAATATTATGAAACAGAATATGTCTTGTTATAATTTAAGAAATTAGTTATATATCACAAATTTTATTTATATTACGATATTTATGCATATTTGTTCTTAAATTAAAATATCAAAATTAACTTATATCTTTTTAAATTCAGTGTGATTAAAAATTAATATTAACACTGAGTTTAAAATTATTGTGAACATATTATTAATTCTGAAACGTTGTTTATTTACTTTTATTCTATCTGTTTTATAATAATTTTAAAAATCAGTAGTGGGTTAAATTTTTAGGAAAATTTATGCCTTTTAAATTATGTTAATTTCGATATTGGTTTCCTTAAACAATCATTATTTTTTGTGTGCAATTTTGTAGCTTACTAAATGTAAGAGCGAAATTAAAATAGCTCTTATAAATATCTAAAATTATTTGAAAATTATTCAAATAAATACTTAAAAAATTACCTTTTAAAAATTCATTCTAGCTTAAAAAATAAAAGAATTAAAAGGTATTAATTTTGACTAAAAGGTATTAATATTAACTATCAAAATGTATTTGAATAGTATTTTATAATGACATTAATATGGGAGCACTATGACAGCTCTGTCTATGCCTTACCTCCTTACTATTTTAAGATGGATCTACTGCATTTTTCTCAGATTTGACAGTGTCTTAAAAATTTAAAGGTTGTGATGAACAAACAAATCTAACAATAGTTCAATTATTACACCTTCTGTAAACCCTGTAAATAATTTAAGTGAAAAAATAGGGTAAGTACTGTAAAATTCTGAACTAAAATGGCAAACTGACTGCATACATTTGCTTTTCAGGTACATATATCTGAAAAAAAAAAAAAAAAAAAAAAGAGGTCTTTTTAAAATCATAGGAGATAGGAAGTTTTAAGGTAAAGTAACACAGCAATTAATATAAGAATCTAATGCACCAATTTCAAAAACAGGCTAAGTGCAAACAAATACATAAAAAGAAAAGTAAATCAGCAACAAGTACTCTCAGAAAAAGTAATATAATTAGTGTGCAGGTTTTATATATAGTTTGTTCAAAGCTTCTACATATACAATAACTAAATCAACTTTCTTTAATTAATTTTCAATTTGGTTCATTGCTGTACCTCTAATTATTAGCTAAAAATATTAACATTTTATGGCTGTCTAGACCGAAAAGTGGTTAGTGACTCTGACTGCATTACCAAAAAGGCCGAGGTTCGAATCCTGGTATAGGTGTGCATGTAATTTATCCATCCCTCCATACATGGTGGACCACTGTTGGGTGGTCCACCTATTAAGTGCCACCTTAATAAGAAACCACTGCTTCTGGTCTGAGTAATAAGCCAATGCCTACAAACGGGTAGAGCCTTCCAGTGTTGGGAGGGAGAATATTAACATTGTATTAATTTCACAGACATATGATAAGACCACATTTAAAACATGTACCTTCTATGCTAAATACAGTTTTATAGTATCTCTATCATTCTCTATTAATTCCTATAAAAAGTTCATGATCCCTACTTTTTTCCCAGCTTTTGCTGAATTGCAGACTGAAATGACTGATTTAACAAGTGATCTCACTGCTGGTGGCATACCTTTCCTGGATTACCAGACATATGCAATGAAAGTTCTTTTCCCCAACTCTGATGATCATCCAGTGTTAAGAGAAATGCAGGTATGTAAAAGGAGATTGGTTATTACCATATACATTCAGTTTATAGGGATTTATATTTGTGTAAGAATTCTCAGTATGATATCACAGTATATCTCTGTAGAAACTAATAATTTCAGCTTTTCACTTCTTTCTTTTGTTACTTACCTAGAGCTAAGCTGAGACAGTGTGGGGCACTAAGCATAGTGTTCTTTCAGAGGACCTTAGTCCCTAGATATCATCTTTTCATGAGGGAAAAATTAGGTTATGATGAATTATAGAATGCCTTTGGGACCTTAATTATTAGATCCTGAACTTGATCTCTGACCTAGATGGTAATAAGGCTTTGCACCTGCAGCAAAACAATGTGTGAACATTCCTACACTTGATCTCTAAGTCTAATTATAGATGACTCAAAGGAGATTCTATTAGACTCTTGAGTTTTTTGTTCAATTAGGTCGCATCTGTGTGAGGTGTGTAGTGTGAAGCAAAAGTAGTACTTAACTAGGAACTTGCCAGTCTGGATTCCAGACTTCTGTTTCCTGTTGTCATATGGGAAATTTTGGTTCTGGCTCTTTTTTGAAAACGCATAGCTGCCAACTCTCCTAGTTTTTTGTCACATAACCTGGTCTTCTGGTAAAGCTTCAAATCTTCCAGTTTTTAGTTTTTATTCTTTACGAAGAAAAATGTTTCTCAGCAATAAATGTAAGTTTAAATCGTGGAAATGTCATTCCTTTACTCCTGGTGATTTTCAGAATAATTTTAAGAAATTTTATGTGATCTGAATTGTTTCAATCTACTGCAGACATTTGTAGAATTTTGTGCAAATATTCCTCCAACATATAATCAACAGATATTTGTTTTTAATTTTGTTTCACATCAATATATGATATAATACTCAGTTTATCCACACAACCGTATGTAACTGTTATGTACAGTATTTTATTTTCATCATGTTTAAAACTACTTGCAAATTAAAGCTTTCCTTCTCAAATCAGGATTTTCTCAAGTGAAAGAAAGTGATGAATTTGCAAGAAAATTAAAAATGAAATCAACCAAAGAAAACAAATTACAGAATATCTAATTAAGTAGTAATATATTTTACATCAGAATCATAATATAAATGATATAATAACCTAAATCATGCCTTATAAAGTGTAAATCAGTTTGAAGTTACAAAATGGTACCACCTTGCAGTACATAAATGTACAGCACACTCCCAGTTTTTGCCAGAACATTCCAGTTTAAAGATTGGTGACTATGGTAATGAAAACGGGAAGAGGGTAATTTGCCCACTCTGACAGATTTATCTGCTATATTGAGTTCTGGTAATATCTGACTAGCATTATTTCCATGCAAGATAGGATGTAACTTACGCCAAAGTAAATTTCTGCCCTCATTCTTGCTTTTTTTCCCTCTTTCTGTTGCAAATTCACATTTGTTTTTTAATTAAATATGTCATGGTATGGGATTTAGAACATTTTCCCATTCTCAGCAGTCTTCCGTGTTTCTGAAAATAGTGATAGATTCTTTTTCATTATTCAACAAATTTCAGAGACCCATGAAAAAGAAATACACAACACATCATTGGATGAAAATAATGAAGCTAATAGATTAAGACTTAGTACATGCTTTTAAAAGACACAATGAAAGCTGAAAGCAGGCTGCAATGAGAAGACAGATATTTATTAGCCATGGCATCCAAGAAACCCATGAAGAAATGAGCAAAGTCATAATGCATCATAGGATGAAAATATTGAAGCTAGTAGAACAAGTCTTAGCACATATTTAAGAGACATAATGAAAGTTCAGGGTATATGGCTGCAAGGAGAAGTAGATATTTATTGGCAAGTCATCATCATTTGGATTTGACTGTAGCTCTTTGTACCACTTAGTATGTGAGTTCTAGTAAAATAAAAGAGAAGTTACATTTCAATAGCCTTATTTGATTTATCTAGAATAAATTCGTTTATAATGAGTTTCACTGAAATCGACTGGTAAAACAACTATTGGTATTCATAGTCAATTAGTTTGAATCAGCATGAATTTATCTGCATGGAGTTTTATTTAGACTATTTCATAGATTAGCTGTTGCTTGTTGAGCTCTATTAACCAGCTGTGTTGCTTATCAGTGTTTAAGTGTTAGACATGTAACATGCAATGTCTCCACTCCCACTCTTTTCTGTTTTGGATTCTTTTGCTCTTTTTTTTTATAATCTTTCAATTGCATCTTTTATATTGTTTCGAAGCTCTGCAACAGTGATGACTGCAGTCTGATTTGAATGTTCAAGGTAAATCATAAGTTCATATTAAAATGAACAGTTTGTAAATAGAAAATCAAGCATATTAAAGTTAGAAATCTCAGAGGAAAAAGAAGAGATTTTCAAAAACTTTAATTAGTGTTTTCAAAAATGTCTTGTGATACTGTTATTTTTATGCAGTGATTTTCCTTGCATTGCTTTTTTTTAATTTATTGTAGTAATTTTCATTTTGGGGGGTTATTAAAAATTGAGTATTAACTGCATTTCAACAAGTCATATAACTTAAAAGCAGTTTCCAATGATGGCAATTAATTTTATTTTTTTTTAACATGAAGATAGCAATGCTGTGGAAATATTTAAAAAAAAAATGTTTGTAACATTAAAGCTATCCTCACCCCCATCAAATCAATGAATCCAAAGTCATGAATTCCCCTTGTCAGTTCTTTTTTCTTGGTCAAAAGTGGTTGGCTGCATGAGGTTCCTCATACTATACTGATATTAAGTTTAAATTCTACTCAGTTTTATCTAGAAAATTTTCTCTGAATAATGTATTTCTAAAGCTATGTTAAAGGATTATGATTATATATTTTACAATTATATTACATTCATTTGCATGAATATGCTTTTTAAGATTACCTTTTTTTGTAGTACATTGACAGTGATGACATTTGTAATTAATATAACTATGTAGTGTATGTAAAAATTTACATCATATCATTTTTGTTATAGTTGGACCCTTTAAAGAAACCTTACATTGAAAAAGGTCTACGTCTGTATGGTCAACTAATAATGAACAAAATTTTCTTACTGCTTTTCATACGAACTCTTGAATCAAATCGTTATTTTTCTATGCGAGACAGGTGAGATGTATAGCTTGTCATATAATGTAATTTTATGATTTTATGCATGTTACATGTATTTTTAAAAAATATTTTGTCCTCTAGTTTCTATAGTTATGTTATTTTCACTTACTTTATATTCATTTTCTTTATCTAATTTTATATATAATTGCAAAATAGTTATTTATATTGAAGTGTTACTGGTGCAATTAGCTATGCTTCATTTATTAAAATCTGTTATTTTTAATAGTATTTTGTAATTGAATAGTATTAAGTTATTGAATAGATAGTTATGTTAAAACTGCTACAATTTTTTAGAGTCAATGTTGCTTCGCTAATAATGGTTACCTTGCAAGGTAAAATGGAATATTGTACTGAGTAAGTATTGCTCAAACTTTATGCTATTATAGTTCTTACATTAACACATGTTTTGTAAATTTCCTTCTTGTGAATTATAGCAGTTTATTTTATTTTCAGTATAACTTGTTTTGCAAACTTTTATTTTAAATCATTCTTTTATTAGATTTTCTTTTATTTTAAAGCATTCTGAAAACTTTGCTTGCTGAATTAATAGAAAAGTGTATTGAAGGTAAAAGTCATCCAAAGCTTTTACTACGGAGGTAATTTCTTCTCTTCTTCTGTATTACATGCAACTTTAAGAAACATGATTCATTGCTGTATCAAAGCTTGAATATTTATATAACAAGGATTTATGTTGTTTTCTAAAAATTGCTGCATTATTAAAAATGTGTGAATATTTCCTTTAATTATTCTTTATTTTAGGACTGAATCTGTAGCAGAAAAAATGCTGTCATCTTGGTTTACTTTCTTATTGTATAAATTTTTAAGAGTAAGTTGTTTATGACTTTATCAGCATTTAAATAGTTGTATAATTATACTTAATTAATTCTGTATTAATTATCTTACATGTATAAACATTAGTATATTCATTGTACCATCCAAGTCTTGTTTTATAGTTATCAATAATTTTGTGCAATAAATAATTTGTGTGTATTCTACAGGAATGTGCTGGCGATCCTCTTTTTATGCTTTATCGAGCAATTAAGCAACAAGTTGATAAAGGACCAGTTGATGCCATAACTAGTGAAGCTAGGTACTCATTATCTGAAGAGAAGCTTATAAGACAGTCAATAGAATATAAAAGTATGGTAAGTATTTGCTTATTTATTCTTCATGCAATGTTAAAACAAATATGAGAAAAGAAAATTCATATGCAGACATAATGATTAAAAACAAGTAAATGCACTCTTCTCTGTTAGAATATTATAATGGAAAACTCAAAAGAATGAGATAATGCAATTAAATATAAAATTAGAGATATTCCATAATGCAGTTAAATGTAAAATTAGGAATAGATTCAATGAGGCAATGTTCTACAAGGAACTCTTTTGGGCCTTCAGCTTCTAAAGCATAGGCCAAGTGAAGCAAGTGTCTGTTAAGTTTATCGCTTGTGTGGTCACCTGAGCTAATGTTTGGTATTAAGGATGTAAAATATGGCTAAATATTCAGTGACTATGATCACTGAAGACTTGTTTAACCTTTGCATTTTGTCTGATTACTTTCTCTTTTTCCACTATTTGAGTATTCTCGCCATACTCTTGATACTGCAGAAGAAAACTCCAATTCTCAAACTGGTCTTGTGACTTTGACTAATTATCAAACACTTATTATATTGGCATATAAAGTTATCAATGATTTATAAAGTGTGCACTTTAGCCATCATGTTAGCACTTGGTGATGGCTCCACTTCTGACTGTATTTATTGTATGCCACCATCTGGGGCAATGCAATTAATCACGACCGTTTTTCTAGTGAATGGGAAAGTGTTTGATCTTTTCTGATTCATTCAGAATCCTTGTTTTTCTATTTAGCTTATTTATAGAGCACCTATTTCCATAGGGGGGAGCTCAAGTGGCTTGGTGAGGTCTAGGGCCCTCTTCTGGAGGTTCCAAAGCTTGAGTGTAAATTTGCTACAACGTCCAACCTGTTTGGAACCTTTTTTGAAGACCTAAGAGGGCATCTATTTTTTATTTCAAACAGATTCACTATTGAAAGTTACTCAGATAATCCCCCCACTTACTCAAGCAGCTGAGGAGCAAGCTGGATAGACATCGCAGCATTTAAACAAAACTCTGTCAGTTTTCCTGTACAAAAAGCCGGACAGTCTTAGATGCTGAAACTTTCAGTGACCTTAGTTATATTGAATTCACAGTCTCAACTAATCTTCCCAATTTCAGTCAAAGAAGAAAACATTGTATTATTCGTATTATTTTATATGAAATCAATGACAAGTCTATGATTTATCAACAAGCTAAAGAATGTGTACAAGGATCAAACTCAGGCCCCTTATTTTGGTATATAGTAATGAACTCTGCTTTAAATCTCAACCTTGGATGTGGCATTCAATTTTAAGCACATATTGATGATTTCATAATAATAGCAAATGAAAAGATTTATATGGAAGTATAATCAAGGGCAAATGCAGCAATAGAAACCATATGTAATTGGGCTGTAAAACATACTGAAATTTCCTCCAGAAAAATCAAGTACCATCTTTGCTATAATAAAGAAGAAAGATTTTGCAAATACAGCACCCACAATTAAAATGAATGGAATCACAATTTAATGGCGATATCAATTCAAATATCTGGGGATAATCTTAAATGAAAGACTAACTTGGCTACCACATTTGGATTACCTAGAAGTAAAAACAAATAAAATCATAAAAAGTCTTCTTTCAATGTCCAATTTATCAAAACTGGTTCTAAAAAAACTTTATTAAAGAGTGATTTCCAGAGTGGTTGTTCATGCTTGTGCGGTGGTGGGTCAATTCCACTGTAAAATGTGTGTTAAAGCTTTATCAATTCAGTGCCCTTAGCAATGAGTAGAAGTTACCAAACAGTCACCACTTCAGCTTTACAAGTAAACGCTGGCATTCTCCCTCTGGATTGAGTCCACTTAACTCAGAATGTACATTACAATGGGCAATTAAAAAATGGGATGATATAAACATTGAAGAAATCCATCACTCAAGATCTAGAATTTCTAGATTCAAATTGGCATTAAACGCCAGGGAAAATACGGGCGGCAAAGCCCTCCGGGAACTGAAGAAATTTAACCAGTCAGAATAAGCCACCGCTGGAAACTGTTTTTCACGTGAAATGTGTAATAAAATTTCTAGCCCACCCCCGCAAAAAAGGTGTGAAGTGTTGTATGGTAAAAAATATTTGCTAAATTGGACATTTCTCTTCATTATGTAGTCCTGAAAATTAGAGAGCATTTAATTTTTTATCACCAATTAAAAAATGCACATGAAAAAGGCTTTCTCAAGTTTTTCCCTGCAGAAGATATGTTGCTTTTCTCTCTCTCTCTCTCTCTCTTTTTTTTAAACTTTTTCTAAAATGAATTGCATTTTTGTGTGATGTTTGTTTTTTAAGAAATGTAACACATTGAATAAATTGATAGCACAAATCTAAAATGTACTGTATTTTTGAAAAGGTTAATATGTAATTCTTTAAATCGTTTTGTGTATCTAATAAAATCTGGAATGCTCTCCCAATTTAAACACATAAGAAACATACATAATATGTTAGGAAAGTCTTCCAATTTTTACATTCGAATCTCAGTTCAAGTAAAGTACTTGATTTATATTTGATTTCGAAAATATTATTTTCTTACACAAGACTAGGTGCAATACTTTTCCAAACTTAACATGTGTGAAGAATTAATGCATGTAACAAATAGATTTTTAGAAAAAAATGTCGGTAGCATAACATGAGGAATGTAAAAATGTGAAGATCTTTATAATGTATTATATATTAGATATATGCAGTTCATAATTATCTGAAAAAGAGCCCATGAGTGGTAAGACTGCTGAACGCTGATAGTTAGGTTTATATCCTAACAAATGTGATTTTGGATACATTTTGCTCAGATTATTTGGTCTGATGATCTCCATAAAATGGTAAATGAAAATTAAAGTATTTGTACCCAATATTATACATGATCTGCAAATAAGATTACTGTGGCTGTGGAGACTGACATGCCAGTGAAATTGTTGGGTCTTGTAGATATTGCACAAACACATCAGCTAGATAGAGTACTCTATCAAGTAGTATGGTGATAGGTACCATATAACCAAATATACACATATCAAACATTTGTAAGTATGTATTAACTAAGTTATTAACTTCCAATACAATTAGAATTTATATTTCTGTAATACATACTTATGAATCTTCTGTGAAACACACTTATTTTGCTTAAATATACTTCCAATGTACTTTATTTTTATACAACCCATGGTTTAGAAAAATTAATGTTTCTGACATTCAAAGCAGATAAAATTATATCATTCTTAACTGACAAAAACATATAAAATTAAAGTAAGTAAAAAATTCAAGAAGTTTTTCATTCCTGGGTTTTTGAAGAACATATATCAGATAACCCTAGAAATTGATAAGAATTATTCAAACTGTACATCAATCTAAGCTTTTTTGGTTTGTTTTAACCTTTAAATTTCTAACCTGTCAAAATTTGAATTTTGTGACAACTATGTTTTTGAGAACTTGGAATCACAGATGGATTTGTTCAAACAGCATTCCAAGTTTTTCAGTTACATGCTTGCAACGACTGCATGAAAAATCTACAAATTAAATTTATCAAAAGCTTTAGAAATTGAAATCTAATGCCTTTTGTTAGCTGCTGTTCTGTATGAGGAAATCAACTTTTTCATTACCATCAGGTCTACAATGGAAATGAACCTGCTTGGCAATTACTCTGAGTTGAAAGTGTTTTGAAATTTCTACATTTTTTTTTAATATAGCTTTGATATGTATACAAGTGAAATCTATTTAGCCTATTCTTAGTATTAGTAATAAGGGGTTTTTGCAACATTAAATGAGGTACAAAAAGTCCATTATGATATCTTCAGTGATGAAATGTATGAAGTTTGCAAGAGTCCTTTGTTCAATTTCTCTTGCAATTGCAAACCCTGTGTTCTTTTTCTTTGCTCACAATTTATTTCAGGAAAAACACATCTTGCATGTTATAACCATACTTTAACAAACATTAAAACATGAAATATAAATAAATTATTTGGGAATTTTCATCGAGATGGTTTTAACGTGAAAACTGCATAATGAAATTCCTAATAGCATCAAAGAAGGTATAGTTATTATGGAGATTATTGGTATTAATAGAGGTGAAGCTAACAGGCTATATATTGCCTAAAACATCAGATTATGTTGCAAAATATGAATATTTTTTTATAAATTCTTGAACTCTGTAAATTTTAACTTTTTAATATTATATTTTAAAATATTTTTTGCACATGGAACATATGCATAATCACAAAATATAACCTGAAGTTGAAAATTTCAGTGGTTTGTTTTCTACGTACAAATAAGTTGTTTTTATCAATTTAACATTTAATCGGTAATTTCTTAATACATTAAATATAGCATTGGTTCCTAGGAACCAACCTTAAACCAAGCCAAATAGACTTGTTGTTTAATATATTACATATTGGGAAAACATTAGTGTAAAGCAATAAATGAATGTTATGTAGTTAAATGTTTGCTTATACTCAGATACCACCCATTTGTCTTAAAGCCATTTTTGACTCCTATACAACAATGGTATAATAAACTGAATGATGTTAATTTATTAAATCTCCTTGGAGAATAAGAATTATAAACAGAGTCCTTTTTGTACAAATAATCTACTAGGAACAATTATTCCAAATGGGGGGGAAATGCAGTTTTCAAACCAGTTTCGATATGAAGAAAAAACGATGATACATCATGTAATGATAACTTCATCCGAAGATTTTGAAGAAGACTAAAGTGAGAAACCTTCTATAAAATGGTCACAAAATTTTCACACTGAGAAAAATTATTACCATCTTCCATAATTAGTATTCATCGGCAGTCGAATGGATAAGACTAAGATGCACTGTTAGTCTGAATGCTGGTGGACAGGCTAGCTGCATGGGATATTTCTTATGTGGTGCATGAACAGAAGTCATATTCTTTTAAATATACTTCATGAAAGTCTTCTACCCTCAACAAGATACTGTTTTCATGCTTTGCGATAATGAATTAAGCAAATAAGAAAACATTCTCATTTATTACTATTGATATAGAAC